TTTCCTCTCTCTCTCTCTCTCTCTCTCTCTCTCTCTCTCTCTCTCTCTCTCTCTCGCTCAGCAGTTCTTGCTGCTTCTGTCTAATGGCTCCATCATGTGGTGTTTTCTTGAACAGCAGGCTGTTTAAAGCACTGCCATTCATGTGCAAACACAAATCAATGCTCATAACAGACCAGGCTGGAAACATTAGCTGGTATCATTTGCAAAAGCTCTTTTTTATAATGTAATTAGGCCTAAAGGTTGTCTCATAGGACTCACATTTGGAAACACACTGTAAAAATAATAAATAGTGAGGTTTATGCAGGGAAGCTCATTGTGCTCCTTCACAAACAGTGCAGATCCAGAGCAAATCAAACTCACTTCATCATGTGTTAGAGCAGGAAGCTCATTCCTCATGCTATCATATGCAGTTTTGTTACACTGTGGATTTTTTGAATGTGTTTTATTGATGTTTGGATATTTTTCATGGGAAATGTAGTTCATACCTGTTTGTATAAGAGACAGAAGTGGACATGTGTTCTAATCGTTTGAGAGGAGAGTCTGAGTAGCTGAAGGGATTGGGATTGGTTTGAGGGGAAAGGCTACATTAATTTTAGCTTGTAACTTGTACTCTGTTAAAATGAGCATGTTTCTGTGTCCTAAATTCAGTGGCACTTTTTTCCCCTAAAGTTCCTGCCCTTGCTGGGGTGTTGTTTTTTTGTCCCCCTCTTGATCTTAGATCCCATGTCTCTGTTTTTTTTGTTTTGTTTTTTAGTTCTAGTGAGAAAACTGAATGCTGTGGCATTTTGAAGGTCTCTTTTTCTCTCACACACACAAATACACACAGTTGCACTGGTAGCATAGAGGAAACTTCTGTAACCTGCAATAACATAAAGACTCATATGTTATGGGGGAATTGTTTTTTATTTGATGTATTTTTTTTTCTCATGAATGGGCTTCAGATCCCAGTAAAGCGCCCTGGCCCAGCAGCATTAGGCCGATTCTTCATCCTCATCCATACTTCATTCATTCTGTGCAGTAGTACTTAGAGTCATTTTTCATTCATTTTCCTAAACAAGAAATACAACAGGGCATGTTAAACTGACAGCTGTTACTGTGGATACAGTGTGACACAAAGGCGAAAGCTTCTGGCTGGTCCTGCCTTTGTAGAAATATCATATTTGTCTCCCATGATTACTTTATTCTACAAGCAGAATGTCCGATACTAGGTGGTCTAACTGAGATAAAGTGAGCAGTATTTAAGTCTTCATCTCATGTGAATGGACATCATGTCAAATAATGATTTTTTTGTGTTTTACTAACCAGACTTTATTTAGGTGGAGTGTACTGCACCGTTAAACACATTTAAACACAGATGTGGGACCTTTTAGTTTGTGGCGCCTTCATTTTTGTGGGTTTTGCCATCCTGTTAAAATGAATTAATATGTGCTTATACTGAACATCGACACACAGCAATAAATATAAACAGCTCATTTCTAACTGAGCAATGGATTATCAATGTTTTCCGGTCAAACTGAAGATACTGCATCTTTAAAACAGTGGACATTGACGCTGCTTATTTTGCAGGAAGTCAGCAGCTTACCGATTTGATTTGCAGCATTTTTTTGTTTTTTTATTTGTGCCTTTTTGGTTGTGCTCCACATATGCAATTTTTTTTTTCTTTTCTTTAAAAAATGGCTTTTTTAATATTTTTAAATCATCTGTGCTACAAGATTTATTGCAGTGATTTATGAAGTCAGAGCGCCTCAAATGCATGATGAAATTGAACAGCCAGAGATTTTGCATGCTCTGATTGCGTTTTGTTTCTTTTCCTCCTTCTAACAGACGACTGTCAGTTAAATAGAGTTTCTAATTGCACGCAAATGTACAAGACATGCATGTTTCGATGAATGCCATCAATGAGGGCGACAGAGATCAGGCTAAAAGCTTCCATCAGAACTGCTGTTGACTAGGTATCTGTTGCTTATGCTGGTACGGTTGATTCCCACATTGCTCTCACCAATATCTCTTCATCTGTTTGTGCTGTTTCTCATTCGCTCGCCAGGAGGAGCTACTATTCGTACTCATATTACCTGTAAGTAACAGAGACGTTCAGACCAAAGCAAAAGCAAAACGGTGACTTACATGCAGGGCTCTCTGCTCTCTGTCAATGGTTAGTCCTGTTAGTCTTTTAAAGATGCAGTATCCTTTTTTCAAGCGAAAACACAAATCGCTTTGACCAATCACGTTCCTTTGCATTGCAGTAGTTCATGGACATGCTCGGCGACGGTACTTCCAAGCGGTGTTATTTGAAAAAAGAATGCTGCACTTGTGTCTGTTCCATCCACCTCTCATCCTCACATACTCATCTGTTCATTCGTTTGGTGAAGCGGGTGTTTCTCACTTGTTCTCGGTTGGCCTTTAGTCTGCAGCTCAATCTAGCAGGTGATTCGAGCACTGCTTTGATGGCTTTCCAAAAGTTCCTGTGACATCTCTACAAAACCTCAGTTAGATATCAACAGATTCCTGCTTTTATCTATTCTTGTCGAAAGAGCATCGAAATCTTGTAACAAATAGAAAATGCATAAATCATTTGTATTACAAATCATCTTTCACAGCTCCACATTGCATTTCATCACATGACGTCACTTTAAAAAAAAAATAAAACCATGAAAATGAAACCATGAATGCATTTTTTTTTTTTTCAGTTCAGATAAATCCAAAATTTTGTGATTGGTTCTATATTTGCTTTCTTAAATACACAAACAACGTAAAAAAAAAAAAACTGACACTGACATGGAAAATTTCTAACTGCAAAAAAAAAGTCGATCAGTATTTAGTCTTTTTTCACAAATGTCTAATCATCCTTAAAACAAGACCGATTTGCTTTAAGCAAGAAGCAAAAGTGCATAAGATAATAAGACAAATTCAGAGCTCACTTCTCCTCATAATTTGTTCATTTTGATGTTCTTGATGCCATTTTGTACATGTAAATTGTGAATGAAGCCCTTAAACCGTTCCTTTAGATCATTCATGTTGGAATGTACATTTTACAGAACAAGTCAAATATTTTTGCGATATTTTCTCTAGCTAGAAAGAACAGACAGCCTTAATCTGCTTCAAAATAATTGAAAATTATTTGACACATTAATATTAGGTTAATAGCACTGTGACAAGTGTATATCACATTTTATCATGCAGCTCATGTTGCAGCTCTTTGTTCGTGAAAACAAGAAAAAATGGCTGATTACGAACATTATTTTCTGCAGTTTTAATGTTGTTATGTCACATACAATACAACACAACATACAAAAGCTCTGTTTACTAATTTGTCTATGCAAAAAGAAAAAAAAAACATATTTTATAAAATGTTGAATTTCCAGCATAAAATTCTCTGCACAAAATAAAAAATGCCCAAATTAATTTTGTAACAGTAAAGTAACTCTTCTCATAGTAAAACATGTTCAAATAAAGAAGAGAGACTTTAATTGCAGGTTGAACAGCCATGGTTTTATTTCTCTGAATCACATCCACTAATTTGCAAGTATTTCCTAAAAGTTTCCTCAAAGTTGTCCTTTACCATGGAACTTAAGCTTTCCTATCGGATCATCCCTTCTTCTCTCTCCTGTCTGTTGTTTATTCCTACATGTGGGTGCTTTGGGTGGGCTGAAGGGTGCAGTGATACTGTTTTCTGGAGTAGTAGATCTGTAATGATTCTGTCTTTTATTGGGTTATCAGGAAGCTCGCCAAGAAGCGCAAGGATGCCATCGGAAACACCCGTCAGGAGATGACGCACATGGTCAACTCCATGGATCGCAGTTATGCAGACCAGAGCACTCTGCACGCCGAGGAGCCCATGTCCGTCACCTTCATGGACTCGCACAGCTTCAGCAACCGCTGTGAGTATAAGTCCTCCAGAACGCCTCAACAGCTTGTGTTAAAGGAACACTCCACTATTTTTGAAAATAGGCTCATTTTCCAACTGCCCTAGAGTTAAACAGTTGAGTTTTACCGTTTTCAAATCCATTCAGCCGATCTCCGGGTCTGGCGGTAGCACTTTTAGCTGTAGCTTAGCATAGATCATTGAATCTGATTAGACCGTTAGCATCTCGCTCAAAAATGGCCAAAGAGTTTCTATATTTTTCCTATTTAAAACTTGACCCTTCTGTAGTTACATCGTGTACTAAGACTGACGGAAAATGAAAAGTTGTGATTTTCTAGCCCGATATGGCTAGAAACTATACTCTCATTCTCCGCCTGAAAATAGTCCCCAGCTAGGTAACTTCCAATAAGCCTATTTTCAGGCACTGTGTAATATCATTGCGCCTGCTGCACTCATGGTACAGCAGCAAAGTTCCTTGATTATTACGCCGGAATGAGAGTATAGTTCCTAGCCATATCGGCCTAGAAAATCACAACTTTTCATTTTCTGTCGGTCTTAGGACACGATGTAACTACAGAAGAGTCAAGTTTTAAATAGGAAAAATATCTAAACTCTTTGGCCATTTTTGAGCGAGATGCTAACGGTCTAATCAGATTCAATGATCTATGCTAAGCTACAGCTAAAAGTGCCACCGCCAGACCCGGAGATCGGCTGAATGGATTCGAAAACGGTAAAACTCAACTGTTTAACTCTAGGGGAGTTGGAAAATGAGCCTATTTTCAAAAATAGTGGAGTGTTCCTTTAAGTAAAGTATATTTCAGGCTTGACTTTTGACAACATGGAACATTGTAGAATCATATCGAGCTTGTCTGAGGATTTTGAAACTTCCACTTGATTTGTGTAGGAGAACATTGTAAAAACCAAAACACAAACGAAGCCGAAAGCAGCCCACATGAAGAGAGTGGTGCGTGTTTGTCGGCACTAGTGTGTAATGATAAGATTTTCTTTTTGCTCTATAACACCAGTAGTTTAGATTGCCCAGCCCAGCAATTATAGTGTGCCTCTGTGATTCACATCCAAGCATCCAGGTTAGTTATTAATAATGACCTAATGTTGCGTGATCGTGCAAAACACCCATGTTAAATGGTGCAAGTGCAGACGCAACAGTAAGACTCCTGTACTGATTTCAGTTTCAGAACATCCTCAGCTCTTGAGTTTTTGTGTAGTTTTTTTTTATTTATGATAACTCTGCATGTTTCTCTGCAGTGCCTAATGACCCTCTCGTGCCGACGGCTGTATTAGGTGAGGATTCAGTGTATGGTGTGTCTGTGACTGGATCACTGGAGTCTCGACAGAGCAATTCAGTTCAACCTGTGTTATGGCTCAAAGACAACATGAAATACAATTTACTTGCTTTTTGTATGTCGACAGGTCTAACTGTCTTACTTTAAATTACATTGCATTAAATCAGTGCATGTTAAAAAAAAGATTCTGTAATATTTCGTCAAGATGTGTTCATTTTCTTCACCTCCCATAACAAAGGAGGTGTGAGCAAGGAAATAATATTAACCAACATTATCATAGACCAATCTAATCAAGTCACAGTGATTAAAATCAAGCCCTGCCCTACATAATGTTATGCTATAGAAGCAGTTTCATGTTGTCTTTACTTTGTCCATATTTCCAGCCAAACTCTTCTCCCCAATTAGTTAAATAACTTGAGGTAATGTTTGATTCAGGTTGAGTTTTCCTTCAGAAGAGAACTGAATTGAGCTGAGTACTCCTGCTGCACATAAAGACCTTCATTACCCAGCATGCATCACTCATGCAGCCCCCCCACCATGTTCCTGTTGTGTTACATAGAACAGGGTTTCTCAATCATCTCCACGGCTCCTCTTGTATTGCACAGTGAACTGAAGCGCCCGGTTCAGTTGATGCACTATTAACAAGTTCTGTCAGACACATCCAAAGCATGCAGCGCAGGGAGCTTGTAGGAATGGATCGAGAGCTGCTGTGCTTGAAGATTCAGATCCCAGAATGTTATAAATGTCTCGTGAGGCGACTAGTGATGACTGTGTGTTGCAGTGAAAGTACAGTCATTGCTCACCTAAAGTTAGACGACTGCGCTTCTGCTACTGTGGACACACACATTTGCTGAATGAGGACATACTGTAGTTTTTTTTTATTGTTAAGCTAATTATAATTACTACAGATGAACCCAAACACTACCCTTAAAATAAAACTATATATGTCCCCAAGGAGAGGTTGTGTCAGATTTAGCGCACTTGGGGACTTTTAGGAATTTTGGTCTTCTAAAGTAAACACACACAAACTCTATATTCCAAAGTTTCTTTTCTGGTGGGTTGTGAGTCTAAAAAAGAGTTGCATGTCTGACAGGTCACAGGCAGCACAAAAAAAGTGCACTTTGTAATTATGTCAAATTTTTTTAATATTTTAATTATTTTTTATTGTTTTTTAATATTAACTTCTTTTTTTAAGGTTTTGATCTTTTGTATCTTTTGTTGTGCTTTAAAGAAGTACGCTTTTGATGTGTTGACTAACAAACTAAAGCACATTTAAAGATGTTGATTCGAATTCTAGTGTTATTTGATGTTACATTTAAAGTTAATATATTCAAAAAATTCATTTTTAAAATTTTAAATGTACTAACTTCATCATTACAAATGTGTAATTACAAATACAAATGACACACACATTTAAAAATGACATTAGAGTATATTTTAGTTTATCATAAATATTTTTCAGTACATTCAGCAGTAACATTTTAACCATATTTCAAAGACAACAGAAGTTATTATGAAATTACATGTAAAGATGTAGTGAAGTTCTACTTAAATTAGTCAAAAACACTCAAATAATTGCATTTAATGTAAATTTAAACAGTAACATTTTCATTTCATTTAAATTAAAATGCAATTAAGTATCTGAAAACATTACAGTACTTTCAGTTTGCATGTATATTCTTTTAAAGTATATTATTTCCGTAATAAGTACAGTAGTCTTTTTAAAAGTATGCTAAAGTGTACTTCTTTTTCACAAGGGATATTAATAATTTCTCATTAAAAGATTCACGTTAATTAAACATTTTAAGGCCTACCGGATGCTCAATGTAAATCTGGAAGCAGAGTCAACTGAGAAGCACTAATCTGTGTGTTTTAACAAACCCTCATACACACACACACACACACACACACACACACTGTCACAGCATTATGAGTGTTCCCGGAGCTCGTGGGATGATGCCGAAACTAACCTGACAGCTTACACGTAAACCTGATAAAACTCCAGTCATCTGGGTTAATGGTGTCAGATGCTAACATAGCGCTAACATGACAGAACAAGCAGGAAAGGTTTTCTACAGTGGTGTGATGATGATGATGATGATGATGATGAAGATGGTGGGGTATTAAAACGTCCCCTTAGGCCACGGCTCTGGCAGAGACAGTGCTGAAGTGCAGAGGACAACACTTCATCCAAACAGCTGCGTCTCTTTGACATCTGCGATGAAGAGAAGTTACAGTCCCTTATAAGATGTGACCGAATAACGTCTGATTATCAAAGTCTTCAGAAACCTTTACAAGTGGTTCTGTCAAGATGTGGGCCATGCAACGCTGTGTAGAAGCAACACTAAAATGTGCACTCGCCTTTGTTCTCGAGAATCGACGGGGGTTGCTTATAAATCATTTCCTGTGGTTGCGATTCCTGTGCATTTGATAATATTCAGAGGTGTTCATATATATATGGATGTAGCTTCTGCATCTCCACAAAAACTACAACTAAAGTGAAATCTGAAGTGCCTTAGAAAATGCAACAGTCTGGATGTGATGTAGAGAGTGGCTTTGTTTGTGCTCCCCCTCGTCTTAGTGTCCTGTAGCTGTGTTCTGTATACATGTTTAGTCCATATCACCCCATCAGCTGTACTACAGAGCCTGTGTGTTTGAGCTGACACTGAACTAAACAACTCTTTTCTCTCCCGCTGCCCCATAAGTGCCTATCACTGGTAAGTGTGTGTGGAGAAACGCCTCTGTCCTGTTCAGAGTGCACAACTCTGGGATTATATGTGCATTTGTGAGGTTTTGCGTGTGTGTCGAGTCCTTTGAGCTTAGCATGTACAAAGGTTTGTCCGAATCCCTCAGTGTGCATTTCAATAAATCTTTCCCGATCCCTATCTCAGACGAGAACCACACAGCAGCGGCCGAGAACAGCAGACTGCTGGACATCCCGCGCTATCACTGCGAGGGCACCGAGTCGCCCTATCAGACCGGACAGCTCCATCCTGCCATACGGGTGGCCGACCTGCTGCAGCACATCAATCTGATGAAGACCTCCGACAGTTACGGCTTCAAGGAGGAGTATGAGGTTAGACTGATGACTGTGAGAATGTGTCCTGTGTGGACAAACCCGTAAGTGATCTTAAAGCTAAAGTGTGTCATTTCTGCACAGCTAGAATCACCAAAAATAACTGGAAACAATAAAGATTGTTTTCACACAGATTTCCTGAACCTTTCTTCCATTGTTCAGAAGGACTATGGAAATATTTTAAATGGATAGTTCACCCAAAAATGAAAATTTGCAGAAAATGTACTCACTCTCAGGCCATTCAGGATTAGGATGAGTTTGTTTCTTCATCAGGTTTGGAGAAATGTAGCATTGCATCACTTGCTCAGCAATGGATGCTCTGCAGTGAATGAATGGGTGCCGTCAGAATGAGAGTCCAAACAGCTGATAAAAACATCACAATAATCCACCAGTAATCCACACCACTCAGTTAACATCTTGTGAAGCAAAATGCTGCATGTTTGTAAGAAACAAATCCATTATTAAGATGTTTTAACTATTGGTTCCAGCTAAAATATGAGTTCATAATCCATAATATCGCTTCCTCCAGTGAAAAAGTCAGCTCGTCTGAATCAGGATGCACAGATCAAGCGACAGATTTATGAATTTGTTTAGCGACTTTTGGCTTCACAAGACATTAACTGATGGACTGGAGTGCTGTGGATTACTTGTGGATTATTGTGATGTTTTTATCAGCTGTTTGGACTCTCATTCTGACGGCACCCATTCACTGCAGAGCATCCATTGTTGAGACAATGATGCAATGCTACATTTCTCCAAATGTGTTCCCATGAAGAAACAAACTCATCTACATCTCTGACGGCCTGTGGGTGAGTACATTTTTTGAAAATTTTTGGGTGAATTATTTCTTTAACATCCAATAAATGCCACACTTCTCCAAGAAGCCATTGAAGCCCCTCCTCCACAGCGTTATTTCCACACATGTTTTGCAGTGATGAGTTTGCTGGTTGCAGGCAGAGTGTTGGCGGCGGTTTATTTCATGAAACCACAATCTGATCAGTTGAGTTTGTGTGCCAGATGCAGAACAGTTTGTTTTGTTTGGCTGCCGAGAGCGCCAGATGCTTCTGTAACTGTTCAGTGATCACATTTGCATGGATTTCCATGCGCATAGAGCAAATTCAAACTAGTGTGTTGTGCTGATGTTGTCAAACATGATGAAAATATGAGTAAATTAGGAAATTGATTTACTTAATCCATATTGTTGACATAACATACAGTATATGTTGTAATTCATATACTGTGTTTCTCTCTAGAGCTTCTTTGAGGGTCAGTCTGCCACCTGGGACGCAGCAAAGAAAGAGCAAAATAGAACGAAGAATCGATACGGGAACATCATTGCATGTAAGAGTGTAGGATATTCTCTAGCACACTTATCATCTGGCTCCATACACTCTCCTTCAGATGGTTTTTCAGTCATTAAAGAACCTTTTGAGAGCATTTGTTCTGTTACTCTTTAGAAAACCAACATGTACTTGTGCTTTAAGAATGAGCATCAAGAACGCATCATATTTCACCCCAACATCTTCAGATTAAGACATTATATTGTGCACCAAAAAAAGAAGTTTTGATTTTAATTTGTAGTACAATTATTTACAATTTAACACATTTCCCCCAAATTCTCAGTATTTTACATTCATTTGCCAGATGCTTTTATCCAAAGCGATTTACATTGCAATAAATGTATGCATCAGTCAATGTATTCCCTGGCAATCAAACCTATGACCTTGGTGTTGTTAGCGTCATGTTATCTAGTTTTGGTAGCGCATTTAATTCTCTCTTAATATCTCTGTACAATTACAAATAAACTAATTCTCAATAGGTAAACATCTCAATGCATTACGGTAATAAGAAATGATGAAGAAAAAAAATTTGCTCAATCGTCACGAAAATAATATCACTCTGCAAACAATCTTAAAAAGCAATCGATCTTTCGATTTTTGTATTTCTTCCAAATGATTTTGAGGTGAAATCTGACCAGGACACGTTTTCATGCATTGTAAGAGTTTCATAGCTCACTATCAATCAAGCACACAGTCAGCAGCATGCCAACAAAGTGCTGTTGTTGTCCTGAATCTGCTCTGTTTGCCGTGTGTCGCGCTGTAGACGATCATTCTCGAAATAGAGACACACTAGTTGAGTGGAGCCCAAGGGGTCTAACCAACTCAGAAAAAGGGAACGAGGTCAAAAACGCGTAACCCC